AACTGCAACCATGGCCATGTAATGATATACGATAGGATGAAAGTAAAGCTAATGTTCTCCCATGTAAACAAGCACATAACATACAATAAAACATTTAATAATAATAATTTTGATTAAAATTATCTGAGCTATGTAATACAAATTATTCTGTGGAAAAAAATATTTAAAAAGTACAAGGAGGCTTTTAAAGATTCATGGATAAATTGAATGAAAAGATAAAAAGAATTTTTCCATGAACTTTCTGAAGCCTTTGTATGATTGTACTCTATCAAAGGCAGACAGTTGCGAGGCCCTAAAAAACAAGACAATAATTCTGTCCAGTTACGACTCACACTGTTTCCCTGTCTACAACCAGAATCAAGTAAATGAAATTCCCACTAAATGTAAGAAGTCCTGATGTGGCACTGTAAGATAAACACTGGACTACTAACTGCAAAGTCAGGAGTTCAAACCCACCAGCCACTCCTCAGAAATCCTATACAAGGTCACTATGCGTCGGAAGCAACTCAACAAGTGAAATTTAATAAACTCAAGGTTGATTTGGCATTGGTCTATTTATAAAAGTAAAAGCAAAGTTAAAATCCTCCTTTTCTGATACAATCACCATTGTTTAGAAAGACCTCATTTTACAAGGCACGGTTTACATAGTGGTAACAGTTGCACAACTCTGATTATACAAAGCGTACTGAATTGTACACTTAAAAAGGATGAATTTTATGATTCATGAATTATACTGCAATAAAGGTGTTAAGGAGTCTTGGTGTGGCGCTATAGGATAAGCACTGGGCTGTGAACTGCCTGGTTGGTGGTTCACACCCACCAGACACTCCATGGAAACCCTACACAGGGTTGCTGTGAGTCAGAACCAACTCTATGGCACTTAATAACAAAAGCAAAGCTTTGTTTATATAACTAAAAAGGCACGAAATCTTCTTTTCCCTTGCTTTGGTCTTTAAATTTTTAACATGCAATTATCATGAAAAGTTATCCAAAACATCTGTGCTTGATAATTAAGATTTTTCTGTACCTCAAGCAACATTTATGCTGAAAAGCAATACTAAACAAATAGTCTGAGTACTGAAATATCACTACTTCAGGCTGAGTTTGGATTTAACATAATAAATCTTTTTGGTACAGGTTTGTAATAGCTCAAGTCACATGAATGAGAGCTATATTATAGTTTTGGAAATTTGTTTACGTGATAATAAGTTCAAAGTAGTCAGGATCATCAAAATACAGCACCTACTATTCAGTTTAGGTTTGTTTTATAGCAACCGTATTGAGATATAATTTATAATATATTGTTGTTGTTAAACGCCATTGAATCAGTTCCAATTCACAGCAATCCTGTATAGGATTTCCGAGGAGTGGTTGGTGGGTTTGAACCCCATGTTTATCCTACACCATCACATCACTCCAGCACTCTTAATTTATAAAACTGCACCTATTTTTTATACAATGTTCAAAATTACAACTATGGTTCACATAAACTTCAAATACATTTTCAAAATAAATTACATGATGGCTAGTATTGTATAAAGGAGCATAGTGGTTACGAATCGGGCTACAACCCGCAAGGTTAGCAGTTTGAAACTACCAGCTGCTCCGGGAGAAAGACAAGGCTTTCTGCTCCCGTAAAGATTTACAGCCTCGGAAACCCTGTTCAGGGTCGCTATGGGTTGGAACCGACTCAATGGCAATTAACAACAACAACAACAAGTAACAATAATCGCAGCATAATAATCACTGGTATTGATTTAAAATTAATTTCTGGATACATATTTTGTTTATAATTTGATTCACAGTACAATATGTAAAAATGAAAGTAACAGGTATTTTAAAAACTGTACTCCATCATAAGATATTAATATATAAAGGCATGTGGGCCAGGGTAAGTGCAAGACTGAATGTTTGAATTTTGACCCTAGAAGTGGAATCAGTTACCTGAACGGGGCTGAACAGCAGACTGCGTTTTATATGACTGCATTTACATTATGTACAATCTGAGCATTCTTTAAGGCCATGTTACTGTCACAGATGCTTTGACAATTTGGGAATAGAGAAGAGATGGCTCTACAGGTAAATGGAGCCAAATGTCAAACAAGATGGTACAAGGAGTGTATCGCTTAAGGAACTGACTCCACTGCCACAGAGTTTATTCTGACTCAGATTGACCCGATACAAAATTTTTACATTGAGTAAATATTTCATGGTTGCATGCTTGGAATGGAAGAAGCCTGAAAGATGACCTACACATATAGAATCAAAGTTAATCAAATGGCCCATTCTATTCCTTTCCTAAGTCCAGACTCATATATGAAACCTTAACATAATGAAAAAGAGAAGCCAGTATGTTCAGATGTAAACAAGAAAAAGAGCTCACAATCTAGAACAAACGAGGGACTATATGACCTAATACCTAGCTTTACAGCCCCAAACTTACTTACATTGCTTGGAATGCTGCCCGGTCCCTCCTGCCCTTACTGGAAGTGAGATCGTAAGGGAAGTAAAGTAAGAAAGTAAAAATGAAAGAGATTATGAGTGTGAAAAGCAGGGTGAAGGGAAAGCCAAGTGATGAAATGTTAGCGTGAAGCCAGTACAGAAGGGTCCTTAGCTCTTAAGGAAACACTCAGTGGCTAATCTAATCTAGAAGTCATAAAGGTATTTCTAGCACTAGCACCTAAGAGAAACTGTTCCCGTAGACAATATTACAGAAGACAACATGCAACATTAAACAGTGTTATCAAGAACATTTCTACCATGAACACAATAAATTTCCCTGGATAATTATATGTAACATCATGGCTGAAACACTGGAATAAATGTAAACCCCAACTTTGCAGAAACTGTAGCTATTGTGACTTAATCAAAGATTTGACATAACAAATAAAACTGTCCTCCTGATAACTACACTGATATGGTCAAACAGCATGATGCAAACTTCTATTGAATCAGGTTACCTGGATGGATAAATGTGTGTGTGTGTATACACACACATATATACATATATATTATACACATATATTTATTTATACATATTATAGTTTGAACATACTATGGTTCAAACAATAATATGGATAAATATATAAATTATAAAACTATAATATGGATAACTATATTATATGAATACATATATTTATCCATATTATAGTCTGATCTGCATACCTCGTGGTTCAAACTGACCCTGTGGTTCAGTGCTTATCCTACAGCGCCACAGCAAGACTCTCTCCTCTCTCTCTCTCTCTCTCTCTCTCTATATATATATATATATATATATATATATATATATATATATATTCGTGAGTCAGGCTGGTGTTGAATAGGGACTTAAGAATATCTGAAGTGGAGTCTAACGTGTGCACTACCACTTAGGAAGTGGTACAAGCTAGTAGTCAATAGTCAAAGCACAAGAGCTAAATTGCCTACATTCTTGCTCGTAGTTACTAGCTTGTGCCTCTCAACACAAAAGGAGTGTTGAGTGAACTTTAGCAAGTTATTTAATAATTCTTTTACTTCAGGAACCTCTACAGAAAATAGATAATAAGAACACATATTCAAAATTTAATTCAGAAGAGAACGCAGAACCAGGGATATCATTGCTGGCATCAAATGTATCTTGGCTGAAAGCAGAGGATACCAGAAATACGTTTACTTCAGCTTTATTGACTATACAAAGGCATTCAACTGTGTGGATTATAACAAACTACAGATTAACACTGAAAAGAATCAGTATTCTAGAACACTTGATTGTGCTCCTAAGGAACCAGGACATAAACCCTAAGAGGTAGTCATTTGAACAGAATAAGGGGAAACTGAATAGTTTAAAATTAGGAAAGATGTGCGTCAGGGCTGTATTCTTTCACCTAATTTATTGAATCTGTATGCTGAGCAAATAATCCGAAAACCAAATTATATGAAGAATGGAGCATCAGGACTGGGGAAAGACTATTATTACCTGCAATATGCAGATGACACAACTTTGATGAAAGGGAAAAGGACTTGAAGCACTTACTAATGAAGATCAAAGACTACAGCTTTCAATATGGATTGCATTTCAATGTAAAGAAAATGAAAATCCTCACAACTAGACCAATAAATATCATGATAAACAGAGAAAAGACTGAAGTTGCCAAAGATTCCATTTTGGTTACATCCATAATCAACATTCATGGAAGCAGCTGTCAAGAAATAAAATGTTTTGCATTATCTGCTGCAAAAGACCTTTTTAAAGTGTTAAAGAGCAAGGATGTCACTTTGAGGACTAAGATACTCCTGACTCAAACCTCATTCACCTCATGTGCACGTGAAAGTTGGACAATGAATAAGGAAGACCTTAGAAGAATTAATGCATTTGAATTATGGTCTTGGTGAAGAATATTCAAAGTCCCATGGACTGCCAGAAGAAAAAACAAATCTGAAGTACAGCCAAATGCTCCTTAGAAGAGAAGATGGTGGAACTTTGGACAGGGCTCAGAATAATGTTTGCCATGCAGGGATCTAACTATTATTATCAGTGTGAAAATTTGTGAATTAGTATAAGTTTGTTAATTTCTATAGTTACTATTTAAACCAATAGGCCTAAACAAGAGTTTATTCACACTGATTTCAACCAAAAAGGCTCTTAAAGCAAAATACAACATATATTGCCTTCTTTGGGTGGTATGAAATACTTTTTAGTGACTGTTCATAAAAGGGTATGTATACAGTACATGAATCACATACTTCTATGCTTAACATCTTTAAATAACACTGCTTCTTTGCTAATATGTTCTTTGCCTTCACTATCCTGCCAAACAAATTCATAGATGATGCATCCCCTTGCAAAAGTTAATTTTATTAGATGCCTATACTGAAAATTGCTAAAGAAACCACATTTTTATAAATTAATGTTTTTAAAAGCTATCCAGTCAAATACTCAGAATTCAGAACAGCAAATTATACATAAATAAGAGGTAACCTAGGATCTAAATAATGGTATCTGACAGATGAAGAATACTCACTTTCGCTGCAGCAGAAGGCAGTAATCTACTATGATGGGCACCATGTCCTGTAGAGGAATAATAAGGAAAGTATCAGTGCCAGAGTCCCATCAGAAGGTCCACTGGTTTGATGTAATACATAATGAAAAACGTTCGATTAAGAATTGGCAAAACTGTTGTTTGAATATAACTTTTGTTCCATGCTTTGGGTGAGAAAGTTGGCACTATGTCATGAAATTTCTTAAAACTATGACAACACAGCTGATTTGAAGTGGGGGGAAGAGGGTAATGCAAGAGCTCTCAAACTTGCAGATCGTACCTCTGTGGCCTATCTTGGATGGCTAGCTGACCAGAACCCAACCAGATGAAGATGAAGAAATTCGATACAGGAGCAACTGTAAATTGCTACAATTCAATGAACTGGACCTTTGCTTATGGATGTAGTTGCTCAAAATTCCAACTGAAAGAGAAGGACTCTTCATATCAAGGATCAACTTGCCTACTCAATGCACTAGGTTGATAAGGATGGGCAACTTAGACATCGGCTATCAAAAATGATAAGACTATAAAGGCATGAAGTGTTTGGCTTATAAACTTTCATGCATGTGCTTAATTTCAGAATGAGGTAAGATATAATCCCCACGAAACTTTCTTCTTTTTCAGATGGGACTGGTGAAAGAGGATAGGAAAGGATGGTAATAGGATTTTAAAATTTAACTGTAATTGTTATCAGGACTAATTGTGATGCAACAACTGTAAATTTAAATGATGTGTAACTAAAAGAGGAGAGTAGTTAAACTTTCATTTCAGGAACAAGAGGACCCTAGGACCATTAAAAAGGAAGAACATGAGTGAGCGTGGGAACCTAACCAGAAAAATGGTGACAGCAGAGAAGTGGCAGAGGCAATGGCATAGAGAGATAGAGCAGAGGAGGACTATAGGCCCACAGATTGAGAAAGGCAGTGTGCCTGAGGGCAGAAGGCTGGCTTACAAAGTGTGCCTTTTGGACATTAAACGAATATGTATTTTCTGTTTTGTATTGTTGTTGTTAAATACCATTGAGTTGGTTCCACCCCATAGTGATCCTGTATAGGGTTTCTGAGGAGAGGCTGGTGAGTTAAACCACCGACCTTGAAGTTCAAACCGGCATAGTGCCACACCTTAACTCTTCTGTTTTGCATGTGTACATAAAAAAAAAAAAAATACAGAGAGGTAAATACTGCTTACTGATGGTAGGTACATGGAGGGGCGTGTAATCATTGAAATGAAACAAAATATGACTGATTGAATGTAAAACTGATAATCTACCCTGTAAACTTTTATTTGATTCACAATAAAAACTTTTTAAAAATATGAAAACACTTACCCAGTAATTCTATTCTGGAAATCTACCCTAAATACATTTAAGAAAGATTTTTTTTCTTTTAATTCATTATGGTATTCACTGTTGCTTTATAACAGAAAAGGAGGAGGAGAGGGAGGGAGAAAGGAGGAGAAGGACAAGGGAAAATTGGAACGAAATTAAATACATAATATAAGAGAGTGGGTAAGTAAATGTTGCTATTAAAAGAAAATATTATGTCTATATTACAAGTTTATGAAGAGCTTATAATAACACTGTTGTTTTTACGTGTGATTGAGTCAGTTCTGACTCATAATGACCTTACAGAGGGTTTCCAAGGAGCGGCTAGTTTGTTTGAACTAGCAGTCCAGTGTTTATCCTACAGCATAACACTAGGATTCCATAATAATATTTTAAGTATCTTTATCTCACAACTTTGTGAAGGCAATTTCCAAAGGGGAAAAAAAAAAAACAAACTAGTGGAAAATATACCAAATTGATAATAGAATAGAGTTGGTTGCTTAGGTAATTAAAGTTGCCAGCATTTTGTCACAATTCTCTAAACCGGCTATTTCAAAGTTGACATAACTTCTTAGTTTTAAAATATTTTGACGGCTTTATATCCATTTAGTGTGAATTCCTATCAACTGAATGGCAACCCATAATTTTGGCCTTTGTCAAAGGAATCATGCTAAAGAAGAAACAGTCACCTATTATGACTACAAACTGTCAAGTCACCAAATATTGGATTTCAGGAGTACTCTTTCATTTTCTGCTGGCTACAAGGATATGGTTAACTTTAAAAACAAAAAAACCTAAAATGCCTAGGTTCCAGGCAGAAAAAAATCCCAGCAGGAAGGGAAAAAGGCACTATGTGACGAGAACACCAAGTGCTTACCCCTGTTCAATCAAAACTAATCTTCCCTTATTATTTGAGAAAGAGGTGGCAGCAAAGGATGCAATCTTGAAAGGAATACAGAACTATTCCTGACCCATCCTGCTTCCTTTAGTCATTGGTATTCCTCATGACTGGATTTATCTTATTTAGATTCTTCAAAACTAAGAATGAAAATTACAGATCAGAAAAATGTTAGAACTATACCAAGATGCAACCCTGAATGGAATATAATGAGCTTGATTATCTGGAGGAAGGGAGAGGTGGGAAGAGCTACCAAAATTTAATAAATATATATTTTTAAATGCATAGCTGTTTTCCTAAGAAAGTAAGGACAATACCTAGGGTTCAAAAATGAAAAGGGAAAAAAAATAAATAAATAAAACTAAACCAAAAACAAAAGAATACGACCCAAACTGTCACTGAGACTACCCTGGCAAAAATGATTTTTTTTGGTTAACTTAAGATTTTCAGACTGAAATCTGAAAGAAAAAATAAGCAAAAATCTGAAATTTGGAAAATCAAAATTCCCAACTCTATGTAGTAAAAACAAGAAACAAATATAAAGTGACTCAAAGATCGAAAACAAAGGATAGGCAAAGGTGAGCTATGCAAAGAAAAAGTAAGCATGAGGTTGTGATCTTATATAAAGTAAAAGAGGAAGCTAATAAACATTAAATTTGAACCAATAAATTTGCAATGAAGATAAGTTACTTATTTTTCTATACCAAATGATTAAACACTACATGCTGTTGTGTGCCACTGAGTCGATTCAGACTCATAAAGACCCTACAGGGCAGAGAAGAACTGCTGGTAGGAAGCCCGAAGCTGTCATTTTTATGGGAGCAGATTGCCAAGTCTTTTCTCCTACAGAGCCACTGGTGAGTTTGAACTGTCACCTTTTTGGTTAGCAGTCAAGAGCTTAACCACTATACCACCAAGACTCTAATATACTAAATTATACAGCATTAACATTTGTACAGCATAAGATGGAAGGAAAATAGACCAAAGAGCACTACTGTTGTTGTTTTTAAGTGCCATCAAGTCAGTTCCAAGGAGTAGCCGGTGGGTTTGAACAGCTGTCCTTGTACTTAGCAGTCCAATGCTTATCCTACAGCATCACACAGGACTCCAAGTACACTATTATCAGGGCACTTTAATTCATCTCTAGCATTCCACGAGAAATTAGGTAAAAATGAGTAACGGTTTAGAAGCTCTACCAATAAATAAACAAATCTGGTTGATATTGAGCTAAATTTTTCCCTGAAAATATACAAAGCAATATATTTTCAAGTTTTTATGGAAAACTGGTAAAAAATGATCATATGTTGGGCCACAAAAATATATAAATGCATTCTAAAACAGCAGAAGTAGTACAGGAAGCATGTGATCACAATATAATAAAACAAAAAAGTAATCACATATCAGAAAAATAACATGCACTGTCCACTTAGAAAACAAAAACTTTAGGCAAAAATGAAATACAAATCAAGATTTAAAATTATATATATAAAGTAATGACAGTTCTGACTCACAGCGACCCTGTACAGGATTTCCAAATCTTTACGGGAGCAGAAAGCCTAATCTTTCTCCCACGGAACAGCTAGTAGTTTCGAACTGCTGACCGTGAGATTACCAGCCTGATTCGTAACCACTATGCTAATGACAGTGGGACGTACTGAATTTATAACCCTCACTGATAAATTGTCAATTTTAGAATATTCTATTAACAGGACAGAAAACAATCTTCTTTAGTGAACACAAGACAGTTACCAAGATAGATGATGTGATTTAAGGCCATGAACCAAGTTTCAAGTTTAAAGGAGTACAAGTCACACAAAGTATATTCTCTGACCATAATGGAATAAAATGAGAAATCAACAAAAGAAAAATCTCTGAAAAAATTTTCAATTATATGGAAATTAACTAAATAACAATTCTAAGTAACCCATGGGCCTAAGAAGAAATCAAAAGGAAAATTACAAAATGCTTTGAATTGAATGAAAATGAATATGTTGTTGTTGTTGTTGTTAGGTGCCATCGAGTCGGTACTGACCCATAAAGACCTTATGCACAGAAGAACGAAATACTGCCCGCTCCTGGGACAACCTCACTACCATTGTCATGCTTGAGTCCATCGATGCTGCCACTTGGCCAATCCATCTCGTTGGGGGTCTTCCTCTTTTTCTCTGACCCTTCACCTTACCAAACATGATATCCTTTTCCAGTGACTGATCCCTCCTGACAATATGTCCAAAATATGAGAGACGAAGTTTGGCCATCTTGGCCTCCAATATACAACATATAAAATATGTGCAATATGTCTGTCATTAAAGGAGTGCTGAAGGGAAAATCTATAGTAATACACTATAATTTAAAAAAAGAAATGGCTCAGGCCAATGACCTCTGCCACCTTAAAAAACTACAAAATAAACACAAATTAAGTAGAATAAAAACAGAAAATCAATGAAATAGAAAGTTAAAAAAAGAGAAAGAGCAAAATCAATGAGACAAAAAACTGGTTCTTTGAAATATCAATAAAATTTATAAACCTGTGGCCTGGTGCTGCAAGTTAATGCAATGGACTGCAAAATTGGTTGGAACCGCAAGGTCAGAGGTTCAAGCTGACTAGCTGCTCCTCAGAAACCCTACACTGGATCACTATGAATCGAACCCTACCCGACGGCATTTAACAACAACCAAGGAGCTACGCAGTGGTTACAAATCAGACTGCGAACCGCAATGTCAGCAGTTCGAAACTATCATCTGTTCTGTGGGAGAAAGATGAGGCTTTCTGCTCCCGTCAAGATGTACAGTCGGAAACCCTGTAC